ATTTCGTATTCTCAGGAAGGGCATCAAATATTTTTTGGTTAAAACCGAAGCCGCCTTTGAAACCGCGAATCCGCTGTTGCAGGCACGTCCGTCAAGGCAGGGCAAATATTTTGTGTCGTCTAATGTGTTCATAGAGTCTCAGACTCTTCATGCGCATTAATATGCATTCAAGAAGCCACTCGTTCGTGTACTGCATGCCCTTTGCCTATTTACATATGGCAGCTTCAAAGCAAGCTGTAACAGCACGCTACTGTTTCGAAGGCAGAGCACTCATTCTTTGTTGAAAGTCTGTTTTCGACAGCTGCTCGTTCTCGTTTTTCACGCTCTCAACAACACACTGTTCTTTTGCCAATTTCCTCTTCATTAAGCGTAAGCCACGGCTCTTCGAAGTTGTGTTGCGGAGTTGCCACTCCGAAATTAACATAATTCCGGAATCATTCCGGATTTTCGCGACCCCGGAATGGAATGGGAATGGAATGGCGGCAACGTTGAGAGGCAAGGAATGGGAATGGAATTAGATGAATTTTGCCTGGACTGGAACGGGAATGGAATGGACCCATTTTTTATTTGTTTATATGTTTTTTTTTTTTTTTTGGGGGGGGGGGGGGGGGGGTACGTTAAGCTAAACCGAGCCAGTCAGCGAGCCAGCAGCGAGCCAGCGAGCCAGTTGCTCAGAAATAAAATGAGCGGGAAACTGCTGGCCCTCGTGGAGCCCCAACGAACTTATACGCAAATAAAATGCGATACAAAATACAAGCGTCAAAGCAAAGAGCAATGGGGGGGGGGGGGGGGGGGTTGGAGGGGCGATGGCGCACAGCGAAACAAGAAACCAAACACAAAGCAAAAGAAACGAAGGGATCGGCAAAGAGAGAAACCGCCATGCACGGCTCCTCGTCGTCCTTCTTGTCTTTTTTTTTTTTTTTTGCGACGGCATATAGAATGCACGTGCGCGCACAGACATTGATCTGGGAGCGGGGGCGACTCATAACTCGCAGAGCTCCCATAACTCGCTGATTCGCGCGCCGCCGAAAGATGATCATTTATTGTTTTCTTATAGTTCGAGGAGCGTTGTTTAACAAATGGCCAACCCTGCTGCCTTCCACATTCATTCACGCGCACTCCTTGGAAGTGCGAAATGTGGGTTTGCTTCGGCATTAAAACAAAGCAAAATTCACTTCACTCTTCTCCTCTTGCGCTATGCTCTGATGCTTGTTTATTTATACTACATTTTTACGTGTAAGTCCGCCTTTTACTTGGGCCTTGTTCCGATGGTTCTTTTCTGTGTTATATGTTTTACATTCAAGTTGGTTAGGGTTACAAGAAGCTAGCGGATTCCCGCTCATTTCCTTTGACTTTAGTCTCTGCACACTTTGTTTCACCTTGCGATGGACCACTGCGGACGCTACGAGTCATTCCAGGCAATCCAGCACCATGAGCTTAATAAAATTAGTGATTTTTCAGGCATTTAGCTTTTTTTGCAATTGTCTATGCGTTTGATAATGCTAGCTTTATGCTGCTTCTGCCGGCAACACAACAAGGTTGGGCAGTATCGTGATACATTCGTATTGCGATAGTATTTTAGCAATACATTTCGTATCTGTATTTTTGTATCGCAATACATTGTTTTTCACCAGTATCTGTATTCCTGTATCGAAATACATTTTGAATGTTCCTTTTTATCGCGATACAATCAGGATGAAATGTATTTCGTTACATTTATTGAGAAATACCCCCCCTCCCCCAAATAACAAAATACAAGTCCGAACGCCTTTTTTTTTAACTTCTGAGTGCACTAGGGCCAAGGAGATGCTTATGCACTGTTACTATGCTGACCAAGGTTTTTTCCGATTGTCCGAATTATTTTTCTCTCCTGAGAAATGTTGAGTCGGGACTCGAAACAGGTAGCGTGCTTGGAGTTGAGTCGGGGCATCTTCTACCGCAGGTCGCTAGGTAGGGATTTCATGAGTAATTGTTTAATGGCATCCAATGCCCGCTGCTGGTTAGTCAGAGCCTTGAGAAACAGGAAATCCAAGGAAGTGTTGCTTGGCCTGTAACCGAGTAGCTGAGTCACGGTACTTTGCCACACGAGTCCGGCGGTGGTTGACTTGAAATAGTTGGATGACTGACGCAGTGAAGTTCAATACATATCCGAATCCGTCTGCGCCCGCAATGTTGCACGGCTCAAGCGTACGTCATCAGTCGACGTGAACTTTACCCGCTGCTCTAATGATCCGATAACCAGGAAGGAGGCCAGATTTGGCCTCGCTGTGCCGACCCAGACTTTGTACACCTGCGACTCGTCTTGAGCGCGCTGTTTCTCGGAGAGCTCGCACCTGTGCCGGCCATCTCAGGTCGCAATCCACGAAGTCTCTGTTTGGATGATGCTAGGTGAAACTTGGGGACTGCCATTCATGCGTTGGAGGCGGAGGGTCGGCAGGAAGGACCGTCACAACAGGGATGCCACCGTATCGATTTTTCAACCTTAAAAGAAGATAAGACATGTGCTCCAGGTTGTTTCAGGTGGCCCACTATTCTCGAAAATTCCAAATGCAACAAGTGCCTGCACAATCTTCAACGAGGTGACCTACAACGAAAGTACACCAGCCGGCAATATGAAGGTGAACAACTTACCTGGTTTATTTCCTGTTTTACGGCTCCTTAGAGCTATATTATCTCTCAACGTCTCAAATGGTACGTGGCTTGGGGGTCTAAACTTTGCGTTCTAGCCCTCTTCTGGAACAGAGCTTGTTCCGAAACTTGCAGGAGCGTCAAAAACCAGAAGAGGGCTGTTCACCTTCATATCGCTCACGGGTGTATGTATTGTCCTTTTATACAGCAGTGTGGGTAAAGTTTTATGTTCAAGGCAACATTTATACAGATACAAGAATACTAGTTTATTCCACCGTGACGTTATGTGATCAATGTTGACAGGGGCGTATTATTGGACAGGGGAGTGGTGATGTTTTGATTGAATTGGAGGGTGACATAGAATTTATTTAGAGGTCGAAGTCTTTTTGCGTAACTCGTCAGGCAGACAGGATGTCAGGGAAGGGACCGCAATCAATCCTTGATGGAACGTTTTTTGAGCCCATTGAAGATTCCTGTTCTTCCGGAACCACTACCTTCAAGGCCTGCGGGAAAGTAATTTCGGGATAAAAAAACTTCCACTTCAAAGTTCAAGCCTCATCTCACTACCACTAGAGTACACCTGTGGTGAAAATTTTGAGCTAGTTATACACAGAAGCCAATTTTTCCGGTGCAATTGACAGTCTACCACTCTATTTATGCCACCTGCTACGTAGCAAGCGCACATACGGTGCGTGGACGACTGACGAGACCAGCGCTGGGGGACTGTAAAAGAACGTTTATTCGTCCGTCAACAGAGTATTTAACGCAAGCAAGAGAGAGGGAGTTGGGAAGGAAGAAAGGGCGAGGAAAGACATAACGCTGCTGTTGTTGATACGTCACACGCCTGGCTCAGGCGGCGGGAGGTAGCATATCAAGATGATTTACAACATTTCTCCTCCCTTAGTATTAAAGACGCTGTACAGGCTTCCTTTCCCGAGTAGATCGTCGCAAAGCTTGAGGGGGTTCCTGCGCCTTCTGGATAGGCGGCGACGCTTGTGCCGGCGCCACCTGGTCTGTAGGCTGCTCGTTCAAATCGCCTTCGTTGTCGGTCGGTGCGGGCGCAGCTGCAGCCGAAGGGCTCCCCTCGTCTTGGTCTCGAACGCCGCTCCGAGCGGATGCCGGGCTCGGCCTGGAACGCACTTGGTCTGTGTGACGTCGAACCACCCCAGTAGGCGTTTGTATGGTGACCATGCGTGACCCTGTAGTGGACTGCACTTTCCCTGGTGTCCATTTCTCCCCCTGGCCGTAGTTACGGGCGTACACGGCTGTGTCGGGCGGCAGTGTCCACTCTTCCGTCTCCTGGGTTGACCCTGGGAAAGGCGGGAAACACGAGTCCAAGCGCGAGCGGATCAAGTAGCCGAATAGAAGTTCGGAAGGGGATTTTCCCTCGTGGCACGGCGTTCTCCTGTAGTTGAAAAGAACTTTGACTAGCTTCTCTTCAAGTGTGCCTTCGCTCATCTTCTTTAGCGCTTCCTTAATCGTACGAACAGCTCGTTCAGCAAGTCCGTTAGACTGTGGGTGATACACAGCCGTACGTAGGTGTGCGATGTTATTGTTCTTAGCAAAGATGGCGAATTCTTCGCTAGTGAACTGCGTGCCGTTGTCCGTAACTATTGTGCGTGGAACACCGAATCTGGCAAAAATGCTGCGCAAGCTGGCAATCGTAGATGACGTGCTTGCCTGCCTCGTGGGCACGGCTTCAATCCACTTAGTGGCAGCATCCACGACTACCAGTATCATGCTGCCTGCGACCGGCCCGGCGAAATCGGCGTGGAGCCTCGACCATTTTTCCTTAACGGCTGGCCAACTGATGGGTTGAGCAGAGGCCGGCATAGGCAGGTTTTGAACGCAATTGTGGCACGACGCTGAGAGGTGTTCTATCTCTCGGTCTAGTCCCGGCCACCAGAATGCTGATCTGGCAACCGCCTTCATGGCCGAGGACCCTTGATGCGTTTCATGCAACATGTGTAGTACCCGTTCTCGTGCTTGTGTGGGAACAACAACTCGATGACCCCAGTATACCAACCCGTGAGCCACAGATAGTTCCAACCGGCGTTCCGAGAATGGCGCCAATCCCGCGTCCTTTACATGTGTAGGCCAGCCGTGCTTCGTATACTCCACAACCTTCGTTAGTAACACGTCCTGCGCAGTTAGCTGTTTGAGTTCCTCGACAGACACAGTGCCATCATCGAAACTTGCCAGCGCGTGAACATACTCGGGGGGTTCGCTCCTTGCTGGTGGTTCTGGAGTGTGCAGCGGTAGCCGGCTGAGTGGGTCGGCGTTTAGTAGCAGCTTACCGGGCGAATACTGAAGTTTGTAGCGAAATCCACCGAGGTAGAGAGCCCAGCGCTGTATTCGGGCTGCGGCCAACACCGGCGTAGGCTTGTCCGCTTTCAGCAGGCCCAGGAGCGGCTGATGATCTGTGACCAAGGTGAAATCTCTGTTTCAGAGATAGTCGCGAAATTTCGACACCCCAAAAACCAGAGCCAAGGCCTCACGTTCTAGCTGAGAGTAATTCCGCTCGGCACTGGTCAGCGTTCGCGACCGGAAGCCAATGGGCCGGTTTACTTTTCCGACCGTATGAAACAGCACAGCACCGAAGCCATGCGGAGAAGCATCACACTCCAGTTTCAATGGTTTCGCGGGGTCGTAGTGAACGAGTACCCCTGCCGCAAGTAAGCACTGCTTTGCGTTGGCAAAGGCGGCCTGCTGAGCTTCTCTCCAGACCCAACGCGCATTTTTCCCCAGCAACTGGTACAAGGGTGCAAGCACGGATGACATATTCGGCAGGAACTTGGAGTAATACGACAGCATGCCCAAAAACGAGCGAAGTTCCTGCACATTTGTCGGGTTAGGAGCCTGGGCGATTGCTTCCACATGTTTCTCAGTGGGATGTAGGCCGTCTTTGTCGATTTGGTGCCCTAAATACGTGACTGAAGGCTGACTAAATTTGCATTTGTCTCGCCGGAGTTTTACACCGTGCTCGCGGAAACGCTGCAGTACCGCTCGCAGAGTATCGTTACTTCCTTGTCGCTCCGCAACCAGCACATCATCGAGGTAAGCTTGCACGCCTGGTAGTCCCTGCAGGACTGTTTCGATTTTGCGTTGAAAGATGGCTGGGGCAGACGCTATGCCAAAAGGCAGCCTCTTGAAGCAAAATAGCCCTCGATGCGTGTTGATTACGCATAGCTTCTGTGATTCTTCGTCAAGCGGTACTTGGTTATACGCGTCACGAAGATCGAGAGTACTGAAGTACTCTCCCCCGTTTAGGCACGCAAACATGTCGTCAATCACCGGCAATGGGTACTGCTCCAGTTCGCATACAGGATTTAACGTGATCTTGAAATCGACGCAAATCCGAACTGTTCCATCTTTCTTTAAGACAGGCACAATGGGTGTAGCCCACTCCGCATGCGCAACCGGTGATAACACGCCAATTGCTACCAGTCTGTCTAGTTCTTGAGAAGCCTTATCACGGAGAGCAAAAGGGATGGATCGTGCCTTACAGAACTTTGGTGTAGCTCCCTCCTTGAGTTGAAGGTGTACAGGGGGACCGCTGATGCAGCCGAGTTCCGCACTGAAGACGTCTTGAAACTCGTTGGCGATGTCGTCCGCGGCCGGGAGACTCGTTGGCGATCCGGCTTCCGCAGTCATGTGAAGAATAGGTGACCCTGCGTTGCTCAGCTGAAACAGTAGATCCCGCCCGCATAGACTAGGACCGGGGCAATTCAATACAATTAGGGGGCACTCTACTACGGCACCCTTGTAGGCTACCTTCATGTCCAATTGTCCTAGGACGGGGAGCTTGCCAAGATAACAGGACAGCTTGACACCTGAAGGTTGCAATGGCGGCCATCTCTCCCAGTTCTTTTCATAAATTTCGCGGGGCACAACACAGACGGGCGACCCCGTGTCTATCAGCATTGGCATGTCGACACCGCACCACGTGATGTCCTCTGAATTGGGGGCTCTAATTGCCACTTTCGAGAAGAAGTCAAAGTCCAGAGGTGCATCGCTTCGTCTACGTTCCCCTCCGCACAGTCTTCCGCCATCGCCAGTGCTCGTCCCCGCATGCCTTGTGTCGACGCCGTTTCGCGTTTCCTCGGAGCGTCGCTCGAGCACATTTTCGCAAGATGACCCGGCCTACCACAGTGATAGCACCTGCTCTTGGCCCAGCGGCATGCGTGGCTGTTGTGCTTCTTATTCCGCAACGCCCGCATTTTAGAGTCGGCTCGTTCGTCAACACGCTCTGCGCGTCAACCTTCAGTACGGTGGTTGTATCGCCCGATATCTTATTTGCGTCGTCATCTGCCGTTTCGGCTGATAGTGCTATCGCTTCGGCCTCTTCCAAAGTCAAGTTTGCTTTTGCCAAAAGCTGTTTTTGCAAGGCCTTTGATCTGACGCCACAGACTATACGGTCGCGGAGCATTCGTTCCAGCATGCTGCCGAAATTGCAGTTGTCTGCAATGCGTCAAATGTCGACAAGGAAATGTTGTAAAGGCTCACCTTCGTGCTGACATCGATTGAAGAACCGGAAGCTTTCGGTGATCTCGTGGCGCTTTGGGTCGAAATATTCATTCAGTGTTGCAACTACTTCTTCGTAGGTGAGACTGTTGGGTTTCTTCGGAGCGACTCGTCCCGCTAGGATCTGCACAGTCTTTGTGTTTAACGCTGCTACGAGCAACGCCCTTTTTCTCGCTGTGTCGGTAACTCCCGTTGCCTCGAAATAAGCTTCTGCCTTGATGACGTACGCTCTCCAGTTGTCCCTTTCGCCGTCATACTCGGGAAGATGGTGGTGAGCCAAGGCTGGCGTTGTCATTGCTGCAGGTTCTTGAAAGGCCGTACCGTGGCTTTGCTCGCCGTGATCTTCTTTTAGTGCATGGGTTCCTGTCTTGCTCGTCGCCACTGCTACGTAGCAAGCGCACATACGGTGCGTGGACGACTGACGAGACCAGCGCTGGGGGACTGGAAAAGAACGTTTATTCGTCCGTGAACAGAGTATTTAACGCAAGCGAGAGAGAGGGAGTTGGGAAGGAAGAAAGGGCGAGGAAAGACATAACGCTGCTGTTGTTGATACGTCACACGCCTGGCTCAGGCGGCGGGAGATAGCATATCAAGATGATTTACAACACCACCCTATATACCATTAAACACATTTGATTTCTTCTCTTTGCCTTGCTTGGGCTTAAAGATGACATTTCCGGAACATACCTTTTTACTTAAACCAGGAGGGTTTTAGGAATGTTTACGCTTGAAGGGCATACTCCTCTATGGATACCATCAGCTTGGCAACTGCGGGTGACACGCAGTGTTGCTTCTTCTTCCTTTTTAGCAATTTTGGTGCCCCCCCGGTGGGTGGATGCTTGCGATACCACTGAAATCAAACAAATATATATTTTTATTATAGCATTCTTTCCAATGGAACCTATATTAATTAAATGTACAGGGAGGTTATGGAATGCAGGCTAAAACTTTCCTACAAAAACTATGCGTCGCATAGAAAAAATATGGATGCGATGTTGGTGAGTGCCAACGACCAATTCGGCAGATACCCATCATATGTACAATCAAGTGCCTAATAGACACATTTCAAATAAGGACGCCAAAGTGTTGTGAACCAGAAATCTGGGTTGCCGCCATGTTATTAAGGCACCTCTTCACAGCCTCATTCTTCAGTTGACTGTAGGCTTACCTGTACAGTTGCACTCCAACCTTTTTCATGTTAGCATCAAAGATTTTGCTCATGTTGAATCCGAGCAGTTGCTCTGCATGACTGGGATGATGGTGCTCCTCAAACAGAAATGGCCAGTCCTCTTTCACCTTGCCTATCTCCTTGCGGTTGCGTCTCTCCAATGAGTTTTTTCACTAGTCTTTCATCCCGAGATACTCTGCGATATTTCGTTACCAGACATTCTCTCTTTTCATCTTGAATGTAAGTTGTCTCTCCTGGAGGCAGCTCAGGCTTCCAGGCCGCGCATCCGTAGGAGTCCCGACGTGTTGTTTTTGTGGGGTGATGAAACGCGTCATGGTCGGATGTGCCGTCTTCTCGAAGAGGTTGCGCTAGGGGCCTCTTGTTATTTACACAATTCTCTAGTTTCCAAAGCAAAGTTTCAACGCCTTGTCCAATAACGGTGCCCAGCAGCATGTCTGGAAATAACAAGAGATACTTAGCTGTAATTTTTGAAGCAATTACCCTCAGGTGGCGCCTACCTGGCGAGATGCTCTTTTGGAGAATTTGTTAGTCAATCGCCTCACCATTTGGTTCAGGTCAGGCCTTGTTGGCCTCGCATTCTTGTGGCATGCTTCCAGAAACTTCTGGGGAAACAAATGCCACGAAATGGAGAAGTCTTCATTATAATTCTCGAAACGTTAGGTGCTTGGAAAAGGAACACTCGCTGTAGGTTGTGCAGCAGGTATGGGTGCCTTGGTTGGCACACTGACTTCACAAAACTTCCCAGAAGGCTCCTCCTATTCACTGAGTTAGGAGGTCCCGGTCGCTCTCCTCAATGTACTTCAGATGTTCCATGGCTTTCACACCACACTCCTCTAGCTTGGAAACAATAGTTTCCACATCGTTTAATGTGAGGCTTGGCAGCCAGCTGGCAATAGGCAATGAAAGCTCCATCTAAGAGAAACAATGAAAAGAAATAATTAAATCAAATCCAAAACTGCATGCTTCAGCACAACAATGGGGCGTTGTGCTTGGCCCAGTCGGCATGTTTTAAGAGGAACATAGCCAATTATACTGCTTGAAGCAACACATTTCAAACTGCCAGATTCAGTATCATGGAGGTTGTACAACTGCATTGAAGGTTCTAAGGACGACCGAGGGACTCGTAAAAGGAAGCACATTGCAGTGCCTGTTGTCAGAATTAGAATTTTTTGACCAAACACCAGCTGATCGTCTTCTCGTGATAAGACCAGAATCATGTTTCTCCTGTGCGCAAATCTTCGGTACTCGGCATTATAGGCGCAGTAGATATCATCAGATTCAAAGGAATCATTTATGACCTTTTGATTGTCATTACTGTACAAGCCCAGGTGAAGTCTTGTCAAGTCAAACCTCTTCAGAAGGCCTCTACAGTTTACACACAGGCATTCTCTGTTCCCTTGCGATATGTGGCATCAAAGCTGAGCAACTTCCTTTTTACAGCAGCTCATCGAAGAGCAGACGTTGCACCACCGGACGTTCACAGCCGCTGTCCACGACCATGACACACCACTTCTGTCCAATGATGGCTAGCTGGCCTTGGATCTGCAGGTGGTTATGCTTGATCTTCAGCACGTCGTCTTTAATATATGGAATCATGTCCCTAGAGATATCTTCTTTCACCGTAAGACCTTCTGCCATTTCCTTACCAAGTGTTTTAACTTCGACCAGCCTCATCCGCACAACATCTGGGTCCCGCACAGGACCATCTGGTGATGCGCCGAGCACAGAAATGCCGGGATTGACACATAAACCCACTGGGTAGATGGTCACCCCCTGGCTTGCTTGTATCTTGCAAGGGCGTGGAGCTCATTGTCTTTGCCCATCTTCATATATTTGCTTGACGCTGTCTGCCCCGGTCAAAAGATAGAGTTTGTGAGATATGCCAGCTAAACGAAAAAAGAAATATACAAGACAGAGAGAGACGCACAAGGAACATACACGCCGGCATATCTCACAAGCACGAATAACCAGCCTGCTCAGCTTCAGGCAATCATAACGAAAAGATAGAGGCGCAAAATTTTTCTGTGGTCGGTGCCTGCCTCTTCACAACATCTCCAAATCTTAAAGCTGTTACGTGCTTTGCTCTTCCTCGTACCACAGGACCTTGTATGCCTGGCAATGTGTCTTTTGCTGAAGCTCGTGGGCTTCGTCTGGTGTCAGGTTGCAGTCGTCGGTTATCTTTTAAGGGCCTCCCAAAGAGCTGAGAGGAGTAGCCTGACATGCCCAGCAAGTGGCACTCCCTCATTGTTGCCGAGCTGTGGCACGTCAATGATGCACGGCAGTGACCTCCTGGGTCCAACTTCATAACCGTTCGTGTGTCCATAGGCAAGGATATCGTCACTGGTGTTGAGGGTTCCAGGTATGTCCGCGATGACATTTGAGATGGCACGTTGGGACACCTCGGGAGCTGAGCAGATCCCAAAGAACAGCCGTTTGTACCTGAAGAGACCAGATGGCGTTGCGAAAGTGGTGATCGCTCGAGATTCTTGATCCAGTTCTAGCTGGTGGTATCCGTGACGTAAGTCAATCTTGGAGAACACTCTTGCATGCTTAAGCTCTCAGCCATGTCTCTGATGGTTGGTGTCGGGTGTCGTTCTCTCTGGATTGCTACGTTGGCTCTTCACATGTCGACACTGAGTCGTACCTTGGATGGGTTGGCAGACTTGGGCACTACTACCATCGGTAAAACGAATGGAGTTGGTTCCTCCACTGGCTCAATGATGTCCGCAGCCAGTAAGGCTTGAAGTTCATCTTCCACTTTCTTTCTTAGGTGGACGGAAACACGTCGTGGTTTCTGAGCTACTGGTGCAATGGACGGGTCAACATGGAGGTGCACTTGTGTACCCTTTAGCTCTTCGATGCCGTTGGTTACTTCAGGGTATGCAGCCAAGGGATTTTCTGACTGAACCTTGTTGGTGATCTGCAACACACCCAGTGCTGCTGCAGATGTTCTGCTGAGCAGAGTAGGAACTGGTCCTTGACCCTCAGTGATGACAAGGACAGTTGTATCGCACATTCCTGCCCTGTGTTGTAGCTTCACACGGAACTTGCCAACCAAATGTAATGGTTGTTTTAAGCCATACGCAAAGATGTGGCATTCGGATGGGCTCAAGGTTGGCAGCGGGGATAACTAAACAAATGTTGACTGTCCCATGGTGTCCATCGAAGAGCCAGAGTCGATGATGGCTGGTACAGTCCCATGACAACAGTACGTAACCTTGGTCTGAGTGAGTTGCTGGGCGGTGTGGTTGACTTGGAAGATAGATTCTTCCAATGAAGCTGTTTTAAGGTTGTGGATTTTTTGCTGGTGGGGCTCTTCTCTGGGTGTTCCACGTCGAGGTTGTTGCGAAGACCGACATACCTTTGCATAGTGGTTCAGCTTTTCACATGCGTTGCAGGTGGCTCCTCTAGCTGTGCAGCGTTGGGTGGTCGGGTGTGGGTAAGGTCCACCACAGTGGCCACAAACATCGTTCGTGTTGAATGACTTCTGCTTGTGCGACTTTGTACGTGGTGCTGTGTCTTTGGCGTACAGTGCAGCTGACGAGGTCTTTTTCGATGCCTTTGGCGTGAAGGTCTGCCAGTTCACTTGAATGGGCGTAATCCAGCAGCTGCATGTGAGGGTCATGGTCGGTTTCGACAACGCTTTCCGGCGTTGTCGATTTGTGACTAATCTCACCGTCGATGTCAGGGAATCCGCATCGACGAGAAATATCGCGTAGTCGCGTGTGGTGGCTGTACACCACTAGAGTGCACGACATAAGATTGCCGACGTCAACGCGCGCGACACTAGAGCGCCGCGACGTTAGAGCGTGCGACACGAGGGAGTTTTAGCAGACCGTGTTCCCCGCTCCGCTCGCCCTCCGCTACGAAGAAACCTCCACTG